ATTTTAAATAAACGCTATTTTTGATAGACTGTGCGAAAACAAGAGCAACAAAGAATTTAAGACAATAAAAATATCTTTAGGAAAGTTGTGATTTTATGAAGAACTAAGTTATAAATGCTAAATAACATACAGAATTTTTTCGAAATGGATTTTTAGAGTTCACTTATATAGAGGGTTATGTTCGTTACATTAAAACAATTTGAATGTGCAACTAAGTAGGTCACCCTGACTATCACAACAGATATAAAATCGCAGTGGAACGGCATGTATCAAAACAACATTTTGACATTGCTTGGTGTTACGTAGGTAATGTGAAACCCCCAAAAAGGGGTCATTTTCGAATAGGTAGTAACATCCTTCTTCAGATTGGAGATTTAGAGTTTACAATGTAGGGATATCCTGTGAACTTAATGACGTTGGAAAACAAAGAAATAGGATCAATTGAAGGCAGAAACAGACCTATAACAAGTCTTGCCCCAGCTATGTTAAGTAAAATGCAGCACCTTGTGGTATGTAAGAATAAATAAACATACAATTGAGGGGCAAAAGTCGTACTCGTGCTACTGGCAACAGTATGCAACATTATCAAGAAGGATCTCTGGAAAAGTGATACAAGTCAAAAGTACACAAGCTACTTCCATGAAATATCTGCTCAACTAATACATACTTCAAGTAGCTGAAGAATGAAATATGTATTAGTGCTATTCCATACAAAGAATACCGGTCAAATCGCGGGAGCGGTACCTACGGTTTTATATGCAACCAAACTGTTGAAACGGGCACTGGAATATAGTTGTCATTCTACATAACATGAATTATGGAAAGCATGAAGGAGGAGGAATGTGCTTTGAACACGACAACGTTAAGTATGAGCTTTTTGCATTGGAAATTACGCTATCAGGCTATTGTCAAAATATATGGTCGCAGACAGAACATAACCAGACATGGTGAGGTGGACTGTAAAGATGTTGTGAGGATACAAAATCATTTTGATACGACAACGAATGGGTAAGTACGGAAATATGTCATGTCATTTTGTATTTACTTAATATTATTCTTTTTAGCTAGTTTGGATATTTGTATATATACATATATAAAAGTTTAGTGCATTGTATATTAAGTTAGATGTAACTAATATACGAATGAAATGAGAGCATTTTACGGTTACACAAATAACAACAAATTCATCGTGAAAGTAATAAAGTTCAAAATGTTGATGAAGCGCACTTTGTAAACAAAGATAGAGTAATTATCATAATAGTATCCATGGAAAGGTAAAGGAATTTAGTCATGGAATTAAAACAATATGCTTGTTTGTTTGTTGTTAAGCACAACGAAACACAATGGACTATTTTTGGTGTGCCCACCATGTGTAACGAAACCCAGTTTTTGCGTTATAAGCCTTCAGACTTACAAGTGTGCCACTAGGGACTACAATAAGTTCAATATAGGAGTGATATATAATAGAAGTAAACAAAGTTTAATAAAACATGATTAAATAAGAAAATGAGTACGAAATAGAAAACAAACTTGTTACCAGAGGGGACTGACTTATGACAGAAAAACTGGGTTGATTACGTGGTTCTTAGACTCCATTTTACCGCTTGTAGTCTTCCTTGAAATACTAAATCGATTTATTCGTTGTTCATTATTACTGTTATTCTTATCATAGGAAATTTGTCACATTTAAATAGGTGTTTCAAATTTAGTTTGTTGCAAACCTAATGCATCAAAACTGATGTTCATCGAAACTGGGTAAGTTTGGATGCCTATACATATAAGTAATTAGATTATCACTATATACCATAACTAAAATCTTTTTATAAAATTCAGAGTATTGGTAAGCATGAAAAAACAAAAACCTTCTTTATGTAAATGTTTAATAAAGTGGAATGGCACACAGCAGTAAGCCGTGGTAAATTCGTTTAAGTTAGTTTAAACAAAGATATAGACCTCACGGACTCTAATAAATTACACATTTGACTATATTTACGTGAAAACGATGATGGGGAGTATAATAAAAATGCTTGCAGTTAGGTAAGTGATCCCTGGATAAATACTGACAGTTGCATTGTACAGCTGAGAAAAGATAGTTGTTCCTAACACTGGAACTATAGACTCCATCATTGCTAACGTAACGAACACCTTTCCTGTGGGAGAAAAAGTTTTGGAAAAAATGTTTTAGTAATAGAAAACAAATGGTAATTTTTATGTGAATACTAAAATGTTGAAGTTTTATCACATTTTAAAAGTTATTATTATGCTATTATAGTGACAACAAGTTATAAATAATTAATATAAATTCGATTTTAATATTTTAAGAACATTATGTAATTGTGTCACTAATATGTTATATTACAATATTGTAACAGAATATGAAGTTTCTAAATAGAGAATTTTCATAAGAAATTATGCAGTAGTATGAAGTTACATTTGTTATAAAAGATTTAGAATTCGATTACTCTTACAACACGTATCGATGATTATTACTTCAAGTGGAGTTATAGTTAAGAATTTGTTATTCTTCAGTTCATAAAAATAGAAAACAAACAACTCAAAAAACATTATTTATTTAGTCAATACACCAACAACTCAAAAAACATTATTTATTTAGTCAATACACCAACAACTCAAAAAACATTATTTATTTAGTCAATACACCAACAACTCAAAAAACATTATTTATTTAATCAATACACCAAGAATTTGTCTTCCATTCACCTGAATATAAAATTACAGACGTTTTTACTCGTGAAAAAAAGAATATGAAGTGTTTTTAGTTTTTTTTGTAAATCTGAAAATATTTTTTCGTTAAATTAAAGAAAAAAGTATCAAGTTCCATTTTTTTCTCACAATAATCAGTTTCATTATTAAAAGACTTTGGTTCATTACTATTTAATTGTGAAAATAAGGAAATGTTAGTGTTACTAAGTTGTATAGTAGATGCCAAACTCTGTCATGAAAAATGGTTCAGATACTAATTATAATACTGAAACGTTATAAGCTGAATTATTTAAGGCTGCATTAAAACCTTACTAAAATAACATACTTTGACTTCATAGTTGTTTGGATTTTAGCAGCTATTAAACTACTTTGATTCACAATCACAAAGAAAGGGCTTTTTGTTATTTAAACCACATCATGAAGCACTTGTTTAAAATATAATTAGAAGAAAAAATCAGTATGGGTAACTAGAGAGTAAAGTATAGTAAATTTATATAATTGTTCCTATGAGATAATCTTTAAAGAGCTCTAACTACAGTACAAATTATGGGGCTATGCATGATCTAATGATTAGTATTCCAGGTCGTGTATCGAACGCTCCAAGGTTCGAGTTACCATATGCTATTGAATATACTCCGCGCTTTCAGCTGTGAGAGCATTATAACTGTGACAGTCAATTCTTTCTGCTATTCGGTTAAGAGGAGTCACACAGGCAAGCAAGTGCTACTGACTGATTGTCAGCCCTCGGATAAGCAGTTCTAAATTAGCCCATATGTCGAATAAAGTATGTCGTTCAGGTTGAAAATAGTCAATAGCGTTGCAAAAATTATGAATATATCCTATAGTGACGATTTAATTGCCATTGAGAACTATATATCAATTTCAAACAGTTTATTGAACTTACATTAAAAACAACGGATA